TGTTGTGTTTTGAGACAGGGTTTCTGTGCCTTGGCTCTCCTGGTACTCACTCTGTAGACCAGGCTGGCCTAGACATAGCTTCTTTGTGCAAACTTCAACCCTACCACTTAGGGGGGAGGTTGCCATTGTCTGATAAGAACCTGAGGGAGTCCCCAGGTGACAGTGTTTTCTGCCGCACAATTTGTGCAAGTCATCATCTCAAATTCATCATATTTGCTCTGCAAACTTCCCTTTAACATGACAAATAATACTCTAAAACAATTGGAAGAAGACGCAGATACATCACAACCCCCTGTTCAGAAGTGACTCCCGGTCATCCAAATATTATGGTCAGGGTTTTCTTCACACTGACCATCCCGTGGAGTCTCTTTCTCCGCTTGCATTAAACACCCACGCCTCAGTGAAACCGTTTTCACCTCTCACTAAGGGCTGAGCGAGTCAGAAATCAAACTAAGTCCTCAGCCCCAAGCTCACATCTTCCAGGCACTACCCAAGAGCCGCTGAAATATCAGCCACCTGAAAGAGTACAGTCTGTCTAAACCAGCCAAGGCTTTCAGGCTTTATAATACACTTTGATGAATCACTAAAATCACTAACAGTCTAATCCGTGTGTACAGAGCCAGTCAAAAAGACAGCCAAAAGAAACCCAGGCTAATTAAAAACAGAAAGAAGCAAAGCAGCAGACTGAATTAAATATATATACTTATACATATACATACACACACACACACACACACACACACACATTTCAAGAGAAAGAAAATACTTGGGCACATGAGATGAATCTCTGTATTCTCTGAACATCCCAATCCTCAGGGCTGGCATTGGAGAAGAGTAGAAAACTTCAGGTAAACAATGCCTTTAGGGACGCAATGCAGTATGTAAACTGATAGATTCTCACGCCCAATCCTGAAGATCGCTTCAAGGTCCCTCACTCACTGCACAGCCCAGACTGATTTACCAGCCCCCATCTGAAAATGCCTCCACCCCTCAGCCCTAAGTCCTGTCAACTTGAGCTTGATTTCTCTCTGAATAAACTAATCACCTCCACACCCATACGTCTCAGAACAGACAGAAAGATCATTGTGTTCCTGCTGCCTCCTTGACTGAAAAATTTATAAAGTCCTGCTTAAGGATCAATAATTCAAAACCCATGAAAAATTTAGTCTCATTACATGTTGTACATATTTTTGTTATAATATTTCTAATATTTTTTTCATATTATGGTTTTCCTCTCTGTTCGAGAAGAGAACTATTAGTAATACTGTTAGTAGCAATGTATTATTTAACTATGTAAGTAATAGTTATCTATTTAAGAAATTAACACTTTGAAGTTTCTGTCTATGGGGGTGGGGAATATCCATTTCTTATAATGAAAATAAGGATAATAGCAAGATAGTATAGTAATATTAATTTAAATTACAATTACTTGTAGATATTTTAAAACATGCTCGAAAGCAGGAGAAATTCAATAGTTACTGATTCACTTATTTTATCTGGGTCCAACTAATTCTTCAAAATTATTTGGCAACAAAGACATCCACAGAAAAGATTCAGTGTTAAAAAAGTAGACAGGAAGGGAGGCAGACAGAAATTTGTACAGAAGGAAACTTGTTCAGTGCCAAATGGCCAGCCTTGAAAATGTACACAGAAGTAACATTACATGAATGGAGCAAATATATATATATATTACATAATATATAACATATTTATACACATGCATGGAATAACAATGAAAACAGAGGCCATGAATTAGACAGAGAATGAGTAGGGGCATATGAGAGGATTTGGAAAAGGGGAAGTGGGGGACAAATGTTTTAATTTTATTATAATCTAAAAATCCTTTTTTTAAGGAAAGAAAAGAAATAATAATAATAATAATGATAAAAGAAATCTCGCTTCCAAGAGAGGAAATGGCCATAGCACTTGGGCGTAGGGAGAGATCTCACGTATCCCCAACATTGACCATGCTCCCTCGGCAAAGAGCATTCAGAGGGTAGGGCAGCCCCACAGGCAGAGCGGGCAGAGAGTGCCGGTTTCTCGGGGGTACAACAGTTCCACAGTGAGGCATTTTCCCCAGACACAGACTGTGAGAAATGCACTTGCACACAACTCTGATTCAGCAAATGCATTTGATAGGTTTTACACTTACTTGAGAAACATTAGGTTAAAATATCATTTAGTGCCTTATTTACCAGTGGAAGCTTGATAATTCCCTGCATTCTTTTTTTTTAAACCTTCATGCATTCCCCAAACTATTATTCTATCCTATTAAGCTACCACTTACATCCAAAACTGCAATTTTGGACCCACCAAGAATGAAAACTCCTTTAATGTTCTGAAAAGCCAGCCTTATAAGTTTCAAGCATTAATCTGCATAACGGTACCAAAGAATGCAATTCATGCCCTCTAGTAAAAATGTCTGAGGAGAGGGAACATTTTCGAGGATGGTGACACCAGAACAGGGAAACCCACAGCGCTTTCCCATAGCCCAGGCCAAATGGACACCCACCTGTCCTCTCCTGAGGTGTGGAGCGAAGAAGAAGAATCCTTAGTCTTCACTCTAGACTACCAATTTTGGTTTGGGGCCAGAAACAGCAAATTAAACCCTCTCTGTACCAATTGCAACTTATGAACCAGAATGAAGAACCCTGATGGTGACTTACAAATTGTGATAAAGTAAAAACACAGAACACAACTGAACCCTTGACAGACACTGTTCCCAAAATACACTCGGTGTTAGAGAAATCAACAGTCGTAATGGAAAATTAAAAACAACCAAGCATGAAGAAAAGCAGACCAAAGAATAAGGCAGGCGTGTTTGGGAGATGCCCGTAGGTTAAGAAAAAAAATGAACGTAGTAAATTATCATCTTCCAACAGCTAAACAGAACATTAAATAATGTTTTCTTCCAATGTTACTCAAGTTAGTGTAAAACCTATCAAATGTGATTTTCATTATAGTTAAAGAACTGAGCAGGGTCTCAGAGTAATTCCTAAGTCCACCCCGGGGCTAGTTTAGATTCATTTCATTAGAAGGTTGACTCTTCCCAAGCTATTAACATATAAAAGTATTTCACTAAATCTTCCTCACTAAAGTAAAACTTCAAAAATGTGTTGGAACTGTGGAGAAGGTTTGGTGGGTAAAGAACTTACGATGCAAGCATGAGGCCCAGTGTCTGGATGCTACTCACCATATTTAAAAAAAAAGGCATGACAGCACACAGCTGTGCTCCCAGCACCGGGGAATCCGAGCTAGGAGGACTCAGGGAGGTGCTGGTCAGCCAAACAGCCAATCAGTGTGCCGCAGTTTCAGGGCAGTGGGCTACCCTGTCTTAACACACAAGGCAGAGAGTGACAGGGACACGGATGTCTACCTCTTCATCAACACCTGTATTCCTATATGCCCTTGTGCACACGCATACATGAACCACATACCCATACAAACACACACACAAGGGAAAAAACGTGATGTCCAATCATGTTATATTTTAAGTTATAAGCACATAATTGTACAGATATATTTTTAATATTAGGAGAAAGTATTGAGATAGCATAGATTCTGCAAATAAAATAAGCTGACAAAGCTCAGGCCTAAATTAATAAGCATAATTCATTAATGGAGGCACCAGTTGGGGGAAAGAAAGTCCCACGACACATTGGGCATCAGTGAATACAACTTTTTTATGTAATAATTTTAGTTATGCCTAACTAGTAATTTCTGCTCAGCTGGAGGAAAAAAGCATGCAATTTCTGAGGTTAGCTCTCATTGTTTTCTTTTTACAACTTTACGTCACTTGAAACAGAATGTAACAGATGAAAGGCAATTCCTGGCATAGATCATTACATTCTATCTCAGAATAATGAATATGGCCTGAACATGACCTTTTATCGGTATGTTAACTGAAGTATGAGGTATAGTCAATCATATTATGATAGCTTCCAACCACTGACTCCAAAAAGCAGAATAGAAATTCTCCCTGGTCAAAGGTAGAACCTGAAATGCTGTTTCCCCTAAATAACCAATATGGCAGCCAATTACCAGAGGTGTCTACTGAACACCTGGAAAAGGCCAGAACAATGGTGGAGCTGGAATTTTAAATCTAACTATGATGTGTGCTCTAAGCAGAACGTGTGTATTCTATTTTGAAGATAATACAAAAGTGGTTAGTATTACAGTAATGCTTTTCAATATTGCTCACAAACGGAAATGATGTATATGACACTGGGCTAAAATGGGTATTATTATTATTATTTTGTTTTTGTTTTTTCGAGACAGGGTTTCTCTGTATTGTTTTGGAGGCTGTGCTGGAACTCGTTCTGTAGACCAGGCTGGCCTCGAACTCACAGAGATCCGCCTGCCTCTGCCTCCCGAGTGCTGGGATTAAAGGCGTGCGCCACCACCGCCGGGTTAAAATGGGTGTTATTAAAAATAATTTTCTCTGCCTGCTTTTTTTTGTTTTGATGTTGCTTGCACAGATTTTTTTATTTTCTATTTTTTTATTACATTCATTTCATTTCCAGGGAGAGGTAGTTCCTGTGTCACAGCATGTGGATCTCAGAAGACAGCTGACGAACACGGGTATTGGTCCTCCCCTTTCACCGCGTGGATTCTAGAAACAGAAGCCAAGCCCACCAGCACGGTGGTGAGTGTCTTTACTCTCTGAGCCATCCTCTTGCTGGCCCTAACTCCACGAATATTTTAAACAACACAAGTAACTCACACCGTGTTGGAGTTAGATACTTTTTAAGCAAAACAGAGAATTCTGTTTGATAGGTTTTTTTTAGCTATATACTCCTGACTTTAAAATAAACTGTATGATTATGCCCAAGATTTTATTACGTTTTACTTTTGAGATTATAATATAATCACATTTCCCCCCTCCCTCCAAATCCTCCCATATACCTGTCCTTGCTCCATTTCAAATACATGGCCTCTTTTTTTCTTTTTTCCATTAATTGTTGTGTTTTAAAACTAATTTACCCTGAGATTTTACTTACTTGGAATAATTCCTGACGTCAGACAGCAAAACCAGACAAGGTTCAAAACAATTATCCAAGAAAAAGATGTCCTTAAGCCCAAGATACAGCATGCAAATTTGGGTAAGGTCGGTTGTAGAAGAAACTGCAGCCAGCAACCCAAGCCACGCCCTACCCCTGGTACCCAGGTCAGCCAGCCTGAGCATGCGCAGCAGGCACTTCCTCCTGAGCCAAGCCTGACTCTATGCCCAGAGATGCTGACAGGGACACCTGACCAGAAACACCAATGAGGAAAGGACACACAGCAGAGTCAGCGCCTGAGCCAATGGGACCTTGGGAGGGGGTATAAAGTCAGGTCTTACTTCCTCAATGAATGACTCTGCAGCCTGCTCTGCTGCTCGCTGACTTCCGGTGTCTGAGTCATTGGTGCTGCTGCGTTTTCTCACCGCCTCCCCCAAGGGGTGTCCGAGCAGGATCACCTGCAACAGATAGTTGATTATATTTTATTTCTTACGTTTAAATTTTACCATTATTAATTTGTGTGGTGTGGGATGCTAGCCACTGAAATAAGAGCCTGATGGGTAGATTTGAAACGCCATACCATGGAACCGCATCCTCAGACTGCTTGCACAGGCCAGTTACTATTTAGAGACTGAACACAGATTAAATCTTGATAAAGTAACGGACTAAATTAGAGAGGATTTAATTTAAAACTGTCCAAATTTAATCAGGATTCCAGACTGCAGTCAGAAAGACTTGATTGAATCGATTTCCCTGCAAGAGTATCTAAAATAAATACGTATGAAGCAAAAAATAATTTTAATGAGATATGAAAGACTGTTTAAATTGGTGACTTTACTATGCACAGGATAATTTTTAACAGCTTAAGAGCAGGGGCGTCATTTTATTGTGCTTTTTTTTTTCTCAAGCCAAAGGTAACTGAAATATAAACTCATTAAAGCACTGTCCTCACTTGAATAACATTGGAAAGACAGCCACATTAATTTTAAATATTTATTTAGTTTTAATTAAAGCAAGTTTATAGCCAGGTCTGGTGGCCCACACGTTTAATCCCAGCACTTGGGAGGCAAAGGGAGGTAGATGTCTAAGTTTGAGGTGATCCTGATATGCAGGACAGCTAGGCTATGGAGAAAATAGCCTGTCTAAAATAAAGAAGTCCATATATTTGTATGTATTTTCTTCCAAATTATGGGAAATGCTTGATTAAGTAGAAATCCGTATTTTTTAATTAATTTTTCTAATCACTTCAAAGCATCAGTGTTCTACCAACAGTGACACAGAATCCCGACTTTTCATCTAATGGGTTCACTTGAATGAATAAAATGAGGCAGGTACAAAAACTCCCAAGTTCCTGGCAGAGTAAACCTCCAGTGTCCATTCTTTCTCTGCAACTGTAAAATATGTAGATTTAAAAATCTGCAGAAAAAAATGCATCCGTATTCATGTGAAAATAAAAATATTAGGCTAATTTTTTCCAGGAACCCCTTTTCATATTTGTAATTTAGAAATCACAGACAGGGTTTAGCATTTTCCTTAAATAGTCACTTTATAGCTTTCCCCCCATCTTATTATACTTTTTTAAAATTTTTTATTTAATTTAAATTGGAAACAAGTTTGCTTCACATGTCAATCCCAGCTCCCTCTCCCTCCCTTCCTCTTCCAACCCATTTCAACCCTCCCCCAACCCTCCCCCAACCCCCACTCCACTCTACAAGGAAGGTGAGTCCTTTCATGGAGGATCTCCAAAGTCTGTGATACGATCCAGGGCAGGGCCTAGGCTCTCCTCCATGTGTCCAGGCA